TAGGAGGGAAGTCATCGAAATTAGTGTGCCGATGAAGAAGCTGACGAGGGTATCGAAACTAATACATGTGAACAAACGGATGAGAATGATATGATTCACGTATCAGGAATTCATGATATCAGACTTATTAAAACTTGGTAGACCTACTTGTTTTAGCGCAGCAGAATTATTTGAATTTTTGCGTACTTCTTTCAGAGATTGATTTTTTGCAGACAGAATTATTTTTCATATTTGTTTTTTTTTTTTTTTTTGCAGACAGAATTATTTTTCATACTTATTTTTTCTGCAGACAGAATTATTTTCATACTTTTTTTCAGTTCCGGTTTGTCGTATTTCGACCTTTTATTGGCGAAGTTATCCAGGCCAAAGTGTCATCTAGCAGTATCGAAGGTTTGGAGTTATCAGTTGCATTTTTCGAAGATATTTTCATACCGGCGGATCGATTGCCACAACCAGCCGTTTTCGAGCAGCTGGAGCAGGTTACTGTGTTGTGTTTCATGATCATTCTTGCCTAGTGAGATTTGATGCAAGCTACATTTGTTTGAGCGGGCTCATTTGCGCGATGGATTTTCGAGACACCTTTTATTCCCAGTTGCAAAGAGCATATGTGCAGGTTAAGCTACGTTAGTAAAGGCAAAAACATGCTTTCAGGTTTGGTATTGGGAAGTCCAGCCAGAGGAGGGACCACCAGCCAAATTATACATGGATCCAGGAAAAGTAGTTCGATTCCGAGTTATTGAAAATATTTTCAAGTAATTGCAAATTATTATTTTTTTTGAATGGTTTCGTACTTTGTGTGACCGTTGATGCAAGTTACTGGTGGAGCATTCGTGAAGCATTCAATAACTGGTGGAGCATTCAATAACTTACATATATAATCTGGTCCGCATATAGTGCACGTTACTTTTCAGAGATGTAGATCCAGAAACAGCCAGAGACGAATACAGCAGAGAAAAGTCGTATCGAATAATAGGGACACTGGGAGAAACCGGTTTAGGATGTCTGCCGTGGTGGATGCCGACTGATGGGAGTAATAAGCGAAAGAAGAAGAAGAAGAAAAAGAAGAGAAACAAGGAGGGGAAGTGAGAAGAACGCAGACGGTCATTTTATCTCTCCTAATTTATAGAAATTTGGATTACATTAATTTTTTACATCGTTTGGGATTGTTTTATTTCTTCTGGATCTTGAGTGGATAAATAGTAGCGTGCTAGGGCAGCCGAAGCGATCATGCTTGTACAATTCCGTCCATCGAACGATAGTCTGCTAGTGATTTTCACTGATTTGAATTTAAATTTGAAGGATTGCGCGTGGGAAGGAAACAGTCTCCCAAAAGTTCAGCTTCCTAGCTTCCGTGGTTCCTGAGATAATTTCCCCGCCAAAACTTTTACGGGGCCGTCCGTGTTACCCGCGGGTACGGGGAGGCTGAATTTAAATTTCCGGGTCACACATCGTGGGGAACGTTCCCCTAAATATTCAGCTTCTTAGCTTTTGTGGTTCGTGAGTTGAAAATTGCGGACAAGTTGCTGCAGACACACACACACACACACACACACAGATAAACGCGTGACAGTATGCGTTTTGTACCGCTGTTACACAGCAAAAAATGCATAGAAAGAGGCGGGAAAGATGAGAGGCCGTGTTATTCCAATATCCAGCGAATTTGAAACGGGCCTTTTGCGTGGCGCAAGCCTTTACATGAGGCAAATATTTTTTCAAATACATTTAGCCATCATCAGAATTGTGTAGGATATAAATATAGACCATTCGCTAGGAGATAATGAGTGTGCCTTGGGACGGTCCAAGTGCTCTTTTCCGTTCCACGAGATGCCTGTTGTTTAGCATGAGGCTGTTTGTCGGCACAGGGAGTATTCATGTCGTGGAATGGCTAATCCCACGAAGACGATGTGATTCGGGGGGTGGTGAGGGAATTGGGGCTGTTCCTTTGTGTGTTTTAGCCTTTGTGTTTTTGGGGGCTTTGTGTTGCTTTATTCTTTGTGTGCGACTGAGGGGATTTGGCCGGCACCTTCAACATTCGCCTGCCGCTTCAGCATTCGCCTACCGCCTTCACTATTAGCTTACCGCCTGAGCATTTTCGCCTGCGCCTGAGGATTTGGGTCGCCGTTTTTGGAGTTCGCTTGCCGCCTGAGGATTCGCCTGCCGACTTAGGAAAGCTCCGAAATTAGCGACAATTCATTAGCTTTCAATGTGACCAAGACGGTGGCTTGTCGTGTCGTATCCATCGTCCTTTTTGTCATAGGCAAATCCAGGGCGGTCTCCTAGGGAGGAAGGGGGTGGGGGGGGGGGGGGGGGGGG